TAATAAAAATACATAAATAACCCATAGAATAAAAATACATGTCAGTAGTGCAATATTTGGTTTTGGCTCCTTGTCAATACGAATAAAATAAAAATAAACATTATACAAATTAAATTTTGATTACTTTTGATTCACTTTTTATTTTCTAAATATCTCCCTTATATCTTATTGTACGAGTACCTTACTAAAAAATCCAAATGTTTTAAAAATTAGCTTTTCTTAAAGGTTACTATCATCTGTCTGCGTCCAGTATTTATAGAGCAATAGACGAAAAACAGTTTTTTTTATTTTTCCTGAAAACTTACATTTTTGTAGTTATCTTTTTATTCTCCGGGGACGGCGAAATATCGTAAATTCGAGAAAAAGGTAACCTGATTTCTTTATAATTTGTTTAGGACTACTTACTGGTTGGAGTCAGTACTTATACAGTATTTAGTTAGTGGCTTTATAATACCTACTATTAATTTTATTTATGTCTGCAATTTTCTACATGACTGTACTGTGCTTAACAAAACTGTTAATAAGGTCCAACTGGCAGTAGAGTATAATCTTGAAGGTCCAATGGGCACTTAAAACGAGGTCCAATGGGCACATTGAATATAAAATTTTTAAGGAGGTCCAATGGGCACCAAAAAAGAGGTCCAATGGGCACATTGAATATAAAATGTTTTAAGAAGGTCCAATGGACACCAAAAAAGAGGTCCAATGGGCACTTTTTGCTTTTGGGTCGAATCTTGAGGGTCCAATGGGTACTAGACCTTTGGACCTATGTCGTTTGTTTCAATCGGTAAACGGAGGACGTTGTTTATCTTGTATTTTTTAAATTAATATTACGAACTGTTTTACTAGACGAAAGTGTTTAACTACCAATTTCATGTTATAGTTGGTTTCTTCACATTGATATAAAAATAAAAACGGCCATGTGCTGTTCACATGCGATAGAAGTGAAATCTACAAAAATGTAAACACGTTAAAGTCCTTCAGCTTCCCGCGGTTTTATTTGTTACCAGCAATTTCTATTGATAAAAACCATGCCTGTAATAATAAACAACTTAGGCATCTAATAAACGTTTAATACTTAACTTTTCAGATATTGTAAAATATTGGGCAAAATTAAATATTGTAAACTTAAATGGTTTCGAAAATAAATAATTGCTTAATAAAAGAAAAAAATAAGCGAGCTCGGAATCGAACCACCGATTTTGGGCTCGACCCCAAGACCGTTACCGTTCGGCTATTTGTTTTTTGAAGAGAGTTACTAAATTACGGATACCTTGTGTCAAATGCTGTCGCTTTTTAGTTTCATCGAATTTCAAACCCTAACGGTGCTAAAGAAGTTTTCACTTCAAAAATTATGAATCCGTTACCCTAGTATCCCATAACACAAGTCTTACAGTGCTTACTTTGGGGCTAGGCTAATTGGTGTGTGTTGGAAATATTTATATATTTATTTTATTTAATGTAGCCTTCAGCACTAATTTTATAAAGATATAAGGCGATCAAAATAATCACCGAAGACATAATACATGTACTTTTTACTTATTTACTTACTAATTTCGTACACACACGGTTAAACAAATAAGAGAAACAAAGATAGTTAAACACGGTCACTGCTTATTTCAATTTAATTAGAGAATAAAACTTTAAGAGGAAAATAGAACAAAAAAATATGAAGAGATATTATTATTATTACTATTTGTATGAAATCAAAAACTATAGTATGAACTGTATAATGATCGTAAATAAAATATGTTTTACATCTGTGCCTCGTATGCGCCTTGGAGTCGAAAGGGACACGGCCCGGAAACGCCACAGTATCACAAAATTCATTCCCAAAGAAACTGTAGATAGGTGAACGTTTATTTAGCGGCTGTTTACGAAACAGCTTTGCCAGTTACTATTTATATTTTAAATATCCTTTTAGAGTGCCGCAGAGTTATTTAGATGGAGGAAAATAAAGCGTTTTATTTATTTGATGTTTAAACAAGGTATCTGTTTGGCAAAACTTTTCTTTCAGTACTGGGATGGGAATCGTAAAAGTTGTTTAAACCAATAACGTTTTTATTTGGATTTCTATTGTGTAACCTATATATAATGAATTTAATACCATTATAAAGTATGAGTTCAAGACTTTTAATGTTTTTCAAATATCATACTTTTTCTTTAGGAAGGTTGCAGACTATTAAGAGAAATTAATTTTATAGGGAGTTAAAATTAACTTTAAATGTCAATGTTTCCATTCTCACTTGATTAAGTAATTATAAGTTTGTGTAACCAATATAAAATAAAACATACAAAATAATAACAACGAAACCATCCAGAGAAGAAGCTGTTATTTAAAAATACTGGCCAAGCGTTAGTTTGACTTAAATAAAGTAATAAAGTAAGTAAGTAGTAGTAGTAGTAATAATTCCAGTTCTGTTACTCATTTACGATCTCGAGACCCGTGGCATACGGACAGACAGACGAAAGGACGAGAGGCAGCAATGGGGTTCCGTTATTACCTATTAGGTACGGAATCCCAAAAAGGAACAACAACTGTGTAGAAAAAAACTGTTATTTCATAGATAGGTTAGTTAAAGTTACAATAAAAAATACACTACTGCCACTTCACAGTCATAACAACCGAGTACAGTGCAATGACATGGCACGGTTAAGGTCAAAAGGGTTTTGAAGCAATTGCTCGCCAGATTACTGGTTGTTATTCAATCGTTGTACGTTATACTTTACTCTTTTAGTTTAGTTATTTTCGTATAGAAATTGATTACAGTACGTAAAATATGTAATCTTTTTTACATAAAGGAGATAGGACATAGCGATTTTTCAGTTTGAAATGAAGTCTAGAGATGTATTGCACCCCGTTCAGTTATTTGGTTTTAGGATTCCATAACCAAACGGTAACGAGCGGAACCCTATTAATATGTTTTAGCTGTCTGTCTGTCACACACATCACTGGGCTCTAGTTATTGATTTGAAATAGGTAGATACTTGATACTTTCAGTAGATACTTATAAAATCAATCAGTTAAAAGCACATACTTCGAATAATTCTTTTTCATTTCGCCTAGTAATTCCACAATAGTGCAATAAGTAAAAAAAATGATATATATTCCTTTATTAACGCGTTTTGAATCGACTTAACTATATTATACGGTTTCGCATTTGATTTCACATATAAAATGATCAGGATATTCACAATAACTTTGACAAAACATAAGATAGCAGTTTTTCGTCGATTAGATTTTCCGAAATTTAGCTTTTTTGATCTGGCTAAGTGCTGTGTTAATCTGGGCGTCTGATTTATTTTTCATTATTTATTTATTTAAGGCTTACATTTGACTATTTATACGATAACTGTAATTATAGTACATAAAATGGCGATAGATGCCCATGAGTGCGCTCTTCCTCGCGGTAGAACTTTAAACACGCTTAGCAGATTTTTGGCCCCTACAATTGGTCTGGCAGCCTATATATAAAAATCAAGTCTCAGACTGTAAGTAAGGTGAGTATATTTTTGCGTACCTGTGCCTCATGATACCTGAGAATTGGCCCACAGCACAAGTTAGCGAGTTTGTCTACGTTCAATGTACGCACTCATTACTTCTCGATTTTCCATATTTTGTCCGTTAGAAAATAAGTAAGGTCTGGAAGGCTCGGGATCTTACTCTATTAGTATGATACACAACATCTGTGTATCTTGTCACGGTGCTTACACACATTGTCTGCACTATAATTGACTTATAAAAACATCATCAGCAACAAACAAAAACAGTGTCTCCGAAAGGATATCCAAAGCTAACAACATAATGATAGTTTGATATGATAAAAGCGATTGGTTCCGGAGTGACGACGGGCGAAACGGGAGGAAACGCGGTGGCACGCTGTACGAGTGTACACGTATCCAATGATTACGCACTCAGAAATGAGGCCCGACAATTTTGATTTGTATGCTTTGTCTCAGATGACCTTTCCAGCGTCACCGGGTTTGGGGACGCCCAGATCCTAGAGGAACCTTAAGCCTTGAATAGGGTATTTGGCAAGTTTTAGAAAACGATTTAACGTTATTTACTTATGTTTATGGAGTACTTAAAAATATAGAAAACTCATCATTTTGATTATTATATAATGTCTCCTTTGACCAGGATGGAATGGAGGGAAGAAAATCTTAGAAATAATGGACCAGCCTGATTTCACCTTTAAGATAGTTTTAGTTCTACTAAAGGAAAAGCATGATACGGAATGTTTGATGATATGGGACGATTGATGGTTACCCACACACATTTTTTCCTTTTGCTTCTGATTTATCCATGAAAATATAATTGGGTTGTATTTTTGGATCTTCATTCCTGGAGAGATTAAAACCGGTATTATAAAGCTTCTTGTTCAAAATAAACGAAATGACAGAGTGTCACTCAAGGTGTTTCAAAAGTATGTACATGAAACATCGTGTGTTTGCTTCATACATTTATCAGATAATGCAATGCCTGTTTTAATGATAATTGAAAATTTTTAAACGGCCTTGTGGCAAATATTATCTTGAAAATAACAAACAGAAGCAGTCATATCACATAGAGAAATAATTTTTAATACGGTGTAAAATGATACAAAAGCGGTTATTATTTATTTTTTCACATTTTTAGTTATATTGGACCGAATTGATATTCTTTCATATAAACCCAAGTTAATTCATTCTCCGAGAACAAACTTTTTCTTTACCAGAATTTATGTTTTTTTATTCCGATATGTGATCCGTTACTGTGTAAGAGTTCAAGATACACCATGTTATGTAATTCAGTCTATAGGGATACAGGTCCCAGCAGTAGGGTAGTGACATAAGAAACAAAACTGATGATTAACATGTACTCTTACTAAACACAAACATTGCACAAAATGTTGCAACCTAAAGGCATTGACTAAGGTCCACTGACGAAGGATCATCGTATCTTCATAATAATTTACGAAATATGTTGTCTTAACGGCGCGTAACATGCAATAACTCACCTTATGTTCATCGAATTTGAGCACAAACTCGAGTATTTCCGCGAACTGTTTGACGAGCGCTTGCTGCTGCTCAAGGTGCTGTGTGGGACTCATGGCGCCGCCCACCAGAGAACCGAGCAACCGTGGCACTACCTGGAAAAAGAGATAAACATTTCATTGTTTACTTTGACACCGAAACCTAATTGAAATTTCGAAACCCTATTTTAGTATCTATTCAGACTTAATTCCAAAATTAAAAAATGTGAGCTCTGCACCCGCTGTAAGTTGATTTTTTAAAGGGTGTCAAATAAGTATAAGGCCCCCGTCTGATGTAAGCGGCCACCATAGCCTATATACGCTTGTGTTACCAAATCTATCCGCTTTCATTATGCGAACGGCTAGGAAGTGGAACTCCTTGCCGAGGTCTGTTTCCCCGGACCAATATAATCTGGACATCTTCAAGGCCAGAGTGAACAGGCATCTTCTAGGCAGGCGTGTACCATCCTAGACCTCATCACCGCTTTCCATCAGGCAAGATTGTGGTCAAACGCATTGCCTATTATGCATAAAAAAACTCGCGTCGTTGCCTGACTGACCCTATCTCCTAGCCCGTGGAGCCCTGAGAAAACCTAGCCGTCATTTTTAAATGTGAAAAAAAATGCCATGCACCACATTGGGAGCGCTTATATCTAGGTTGAGTTTATGCTGCGAATGATCGCTTCGCTCAGCTTTCTATATTAGTAAAAAGCCCGAGTGACAGTGAAGCGACCGACACAAACCACATTTTGTTTCCCTTTGCTCCAATTTGGCCTGAGCTTAATTTGATCTCAATGCCAACAAATTCACATGGTGTTCATGGATGCGAAGGAGAAACGGCCGACTGCAAATTTTACCGCACAGATAGTATGACACCCGGTTCATGAAAGACTGTTCAGCGATAAAATTAACTAACAAGCCGTAGAATCGTTTATATCTTGTCAACCGAGTTGCTGCAAGCCTAATCAACAATTTTTTTTTTCAATTGACAGAGCTGTCAAATTAAGTTAAAAAAATATTAATGCAAGTTCTATTTTGGGTTTCTAAAATGTTTCGGTAATCTTCGTTTCAGACACTGAAATTGATTCAAGCTTCAACACTGCAGTAAAAAGATTTAGCCTGTATTTATGCTTACCAAACCCGCCCTAGCCCACCCAGTTGCATATTAATGGACGGACGGATTTTATAATTATCACCGAATGAGTTACAGACAGTGGGTTGGGTTAAATTAGTGTTGTGACCTAAACTTAGCGCGAGCCAAGCGAGCAAAGCATTGAGCACATAATAAATGATATAATAGGTAAATAAAACAAGGAAAAGTCGATGCGCTATCTTCTTTTATATACATCGGCGACTGCGCATTCGGCATTGTATACCAAGGCAAAGTTTAAAATTAATAATATTTCATACATTGCCCCGACGTTTTTGACATTCTATACATTGCCGAGGTATTGTATACAATGTCGAATAATACAGATTACCGGTAATATGCATTGATTTATGATAATATTGACAGATGTGTTGTTAAGATATTAATGATTTAAAGAAAATTTTACTAGAAATAAATCCACGCGGTCCAGTCGGCAGGCGGGACTCGAAACTCCCCGCCGAGTCCCGCCTGCCGCCTGCATAAGATTTAAACATCTAGCAGTTAAATGCCTAAAAAATCCAAATGTAACTATTAATGATTTATTTTTAAAAAAACAGCATAAATCAAAAAGTAATACTTAGCACACTTTTTTATCACCTACAAACACGCCCTGTTAAGCAATATTAAACACTAATAACCAAAATAATAACAGCTATAAGCGTTTGTTATTATGTGGTGTTGTTATATTGTTATTAATTTCCAGTTTTCAGTATAATGGACGTTCCATCATAGGTGGGTGGAAAGAGGGTGAACGAGGGGCGGTCTATAAACGTCCCTTCAACGAGGTTCAAGGCTAATGTGCCAATATTTTACAATGCATTACGTCTCGCTCGCCTGACGTTTAAAGATCGGGCTACACAGGGAGATAAGCGAACCTAACATATCTTCGTTTATGTCGCTGCTCGCATCTCCTCATAATTCAGGTATACCCCTTTCCCAAACTATCGCAATTGTGAACCGGAAACAAAATTAAACACTGGCGAAATGACAAAACACTGTCTTATTGGCTTAGCATGTTTTTTTTAGGGGGCGTATCATACAGCGAAATATGGACCAAATCCGATACAAAACCATTTCGCTTCGAATCCTACAGGCAGCCTATAAGTACTAAACGAATTCTTAAAATAAAGATGTAAAATAATAATGAATGAATGTCGAATGTCGATGATCTAAAAGCAAAGACAATACCCGATAATAATATGTAATAATAAATTTTGTACACTTCGCATTTTTTTAGAACACACATATTAATTACATAAACAACCATGACCGGACACGACTATTTGTGTTCATCAGTCAAAAAAACCGGGATTCGAATCCAAAAACAGAAGTTTGGTGAGAGGTGGAGTCCCACGTAACCTCGTCTCTCACCCAGAGGGGGTATTTGTCACCTATTTTCCAACATAAAATAGCGGCGAAATACATCATTTGTTAAAAATTTAACTGTCTAGCTATCACGGTTCATGAGATACAGCCTAGTGACAGACATATGGACAGCGGAGTCTTAGTAGTAGGGGTCCTATTTTTACCCTCTAGCTAAAAGAACAGAAAGCACCTACAGCAGCCCTAACCCTAAAAAGGACCAAGAACAGAAAGCATGAGCAGTATCTTGACAACCGTGTCTCAAAATTGGGCAAAATATTACTCGTATGTCACAGATTATTTTCAGTGTATCGTACTTAATAGGTCAGCTATGATATAGTAAAGCGATACGTAAACGTAAATTGATGAGCGAAAATTTGATTTGATTGACAAGTCTCTCAACCAATGTACGTGCGGCAGCGCAGCGGGTGCTACTTATTTTGTGCCGCCGCCGTGAAAAGAAATTATCGAAACAAAGTTCGCGATCCTTAGCTCTCGGTGTGCCCCGTGCTTCATGCATTTATAAAAGGGTAACGTATTTTCCACAGCTGTTATTTATCTTTATTTCATATATGGATTAGATTTAATTAACGTATCACAGCGTCAATTCTATTATGACAGCAATGTTGTTAGTCATTGTAACATACCAGATGTAGATGAAGTTTCACATTATGTTGTTGCATAACGAATATTCATTTTATGGCGGTGTGACGTAATGCACATAATTTAGTAATGTAGCCATGTAATGGTGTCTTTCAGATTTGTTAGGTGTCAAGAAAAAAGCAGACCCAGTGTCGTTCGGACTAGAGTCACTATAATTTAAACAAGCTTAAAAAAAAAGTAACATTTTAGTCGCTATAACCTTTTCTATAGTGATTCATGAAATACAGCCCCAGACAGAATGCTGAGGCTCAGCAAATAAGGGTTTTTGTAACCTATAGCGTACGAAACCCATAAAAATGATAGTCAGGATATTTGCCAAGTTCAACGATAAAGTTGAAAATAGCAGACACATCGAGCAGCGGGACCGTCATAACACAGACGGTAAACGAATTTTTGGCAACGGTATTTAAATTCAAGGAAAGTAATCAAGTTGTTTTCACGAGGGTACCTAACTCTATTTTCAAGTATGGCTAAAGTGAAATTCGCGAATACGTTTGAATGAGAAGGGCATAAGTTTTCACGTGAAAAATCTCTTACTTACATCGTCTTTATTCTATAATTCAGCAAGTAGCTATGACCACGTTTCTGCCATTATTGTTTATAAGAACGATAAACAAATTTATTTATAAAATACGTACTTCGATAACACAGGGAAAGTGGATAGATCCATCGATATTTATATTTTGCAGCACAGGACCAAGAGAAAGTGGATTTTCCCGATATTCATTGTTGTGGAATGGATTCGTTCAACCGAAGGCAATGATATTGGACGCACCGCTACCACAAATAGAAGACGAGAATCTTCTTGTCTATTACGTTGTTGCGTTGTTGTATTAGAGCCGACATTTTTTTATTGCTAGTAACAACAAAGTGGCTTTTGGATATAATAAATTAATAGAATTGATCTCTCTCTAAAATTAGTCGATTTATGGTAATCAGCGGAAATATATTAACATAATCGGAATGAACATAATAAAAACCTCTCACAAGATGAGAGAATTCGCAAAAGCACGATTGCGTGAAGAGCTAGATAACACAGTGGTTAGCGCGTTTTATCTGCGATTGTTGAAGTTAAGCAACTTTTGCAATGGCAGGTCCTAGGATGGGTGACCAATAATTTAAGATCGCGAGTTTCTCCATGCTTGTGGAAGCAGGTTAGCAGCAATCTACACTGGTCTCTCGCGATGGGTATCGGTCTATCTATAGGGATGCCTTGTACCAGTGTACCTGTACCCCAACAGTGAGGGCATTAATAGGCCGATGATGAAAAAATTTAGTTTATTAGAGTCCCTCTAAGTCACGGTAATGTACCGTGCTTAGGACATCCGTGACGGTATGACTGCAGTGCGTTACTAATATGTTACGCTCGTCACATCAATCGATCATTATGAAAATGACGAATCAATAAAAACAGACTAACAATTGAACTCAGAGAGTTCAATTTACAAAACAGCACATGACTAAATGAAGCAAAAAAATTAAATTCCGCCGTTAGATTATATTGTCAAAATTTAAGTAAGATCTCTTGAGAAGTTGAATATGAATATTAACAGGAAGTTAGTGGTTACACACAAACTAACCCATTAAGTACATACATACAACACCGGCCAGGCTTGTCACATTGTAGACGGTTTGTTGGTGAAAATGGAGGCCGCTGTGTTCTCAAACAATACCAGGAAGCAAACGTTATTTAACCTTTTATATGGGGGCAAACGATTAAATTTATCGAGCGTTTTAAAAACGTTTTTTTGAATAATAATGCTGGACATTATAGCTGTACAAACTTTTTTTTTAACAAACTGCAGATGCAGCGTATCGATGCTTGAAGTAACGCATTAAATCCGTATCAATGATGTTTCATGGTTGGATGTTTGACACGGTTCTTAAACTAAACCACAAAATAATAAACATACTTGCTTACTCATTTGTTATTGTCCTCAAT